AGGAAATTCCTCGTCCAAAAATTATGACATCTTATTGGTAACTTGGTGGTCCCTACTAATTTTTCTTCTCATTATTTGAAGGAATACGGGGCATGATCGAGAGTTGGCAAGAGATGTATTTTCAGAATCAGGTACTAATTTAATTTTGGATGTTGAAGAGTAGCCTTAGTGCTCTTTTAAGTGTCAAATAATCGGAAAGTGCTTCATCTGAGAACATTTATATGAAAAACGAAATGTCGCAGATATGAATGCGTGACTTAGTTATTCAAGACTAACGGATATATTAATATATGTCTTCAGTTAACTTGTTCAAGTATTGATCAAATATATTATACACAATTGCAAGTGATATTACTCTTCGATATGTTCAAACATTTCAAAAGAACTTTGGTTTTAGGAAAAGAAATCGTGCCGGATATTTGTAAGATAATACAATCGGGAATGAGGTTTTTAGCATCACTCCTTGAGTTTTTGCTTTTTTCATACCTAGGTAATTTAAATTAATGGCTCAAGGAAGTTCACAATAGACTGTATGGTAGATTTCATATCTCGCCAAATGTCATTTTGCTGACAGCTATGGTTGGTGTAACTGCTAATATGTAAAATTAGCTGGCATCGTCACTGGATATGAAGCAATTTATTAGGGGTCGATACAATCAATGCTGACCTTATCGGATTTATTGGCGGAGTTCCCCACAAATAAATTTTACCCTCCCCTCCCTCCCTACTCCCATTCTTCTATCTCGCCCATTCTCTCCACCTCTGTATCCCTTGTTCAATTTTCAATCTTCATCTCCTCATTTTCTCAAATTAAAAGCTTCTGTTTTGTTTGTGGTTCAGAATCAGAAGAGTTTGTGATCTGATTTAGGTGATTTTATATTACCTTTTCTTGTTTTTCCCTTTTTATTCTTAAACTTGATGAACTGAGTTTGCCATCTAATTTCCACCTCTTTCATGTTTCATTTCATGACACGATATCTTCTATTTTAGATTAAAAAAGAACATGTGTTTGTCATCTTGATTTTGAAGATTAGATTTTAGGATTAGTTTTCTTACTCCTCCTTGGTGATTATTTTATCGTTTATGTTGTAGAAACTAAGGTTGGTTTAGTCACTGCATGTATTCTTACTTATAATTAAAAATTAAAATAATAGATGTATAATTAGAGTGGTGCAATCCTTATGAAGAAACCAATAACCACTATTATATACTCTATATTTTTTTTCCTTAACCTGTATCTCCCACTTTTTTTTTTTTTTTTGTAGTAGAATTTAGAGGACAAAAAAACATTAGTCGGCAATACTCGGCATAGGTCATGTGAACATATTAATTTTTTTTATTTTAATGGTTGAAATATTTATTAATAGATTCTGGTGAACTAGTTACTAGGACCAGTTTTATTGTCAGTGTGCATAAGTAGTAAGTAGCAATAATTTAAAATTAATATTTTTCTTTAAATGTCCTTAAGGAATCCTAATTTGAGATTTTTTTCCTGGGCCCTCCATTTTACAGGCATGGTAAGTAAAAACGTTTTTGGTTAGTGAGAAGGAAAATGATTTACATATTTATGTGAATCATCATAATTCATAAGATTGCAATAGTCAGTATTATATTGCAGTAATATGTATAAGTTTGCAATAGTCAACATTATATTGCAGTGAGCAGTATCGGATTACAGTAATCAACACAATTTTCCTTTTTTGCTAGTAAGACATGCTTATTTCATTTCCCTGGAACAATTATGCATACATTTTGCCATTGCAGTTAAGAGAACGTGGTGCTCTGACTGAGAAAACAATTGAAAACCAAGATTTATCAAGGCAATTAATTTCGGGGAGTTAAAATGATGCCATTGAGAAGTTCAAATGGAGAAACATCTTCTGCTGGAAATATGCAAATGAACGGACACAACTTAAAGGTAAATTAATAATGTTAATTGTAGCAGATCTATAGAACAAAACAATTCGAAACAGAAAATAACATGTTGCCTTCCTAGTATTATGTATATCAGTTGAGATTTAAATTTGATATAAGTATATAGGTTGCAGAATTCAGTTATCCATGCAATTGTCTTGTATCAACTACTTTTTAGAAGTAAAAAATCAAATTGCATGTGTAAATACCAAGTTAGAAAAACCCCTTTTCAGACTATTCGTAGTGAAATTACTTTGACTAAATACATTTATTTGTAAGTGTGGATTCTTCGATTTTGTGATGTTGGTCTTGAATTATTTAGTCTTCAATCATGAAGTGATTTAATGTAAATAAATGTATCTTTGTTATTTTAATCAATAGATCTAAACATTAGATATCCACTGGACATGAATATATATATATAAGGCGGCAGAAAACAATGATATGTCACCACAATTAAAGTTAAGATCCTAAAGAAGATTATATCCAGAACCGTAGATCTCATCTAATTCATTCCATTGCCAACTTTTCATAAAGTACTATATTAAAAATCGAGGATATACTCTATGTTAATATGTTTTTCTTTGGATGTGGCAGAGGAAAAGCATCGACTCGACCAATTGCCATCAATGTCATAGAAACGACAAAGAAAAAGTCGTGCGATGCACCAAGTGCAAGCATAGGGGTTATTGTATTCTCTGTATCAATAAATGGTGAGAAATTTTGTTGCTTGATATATTTTTTGTTGCTCTTATGTTGGTACTTGATAAATGTCATTTAAGTCGTACTGATTAATTTTGAGTTTTACCGCCACAAAGCAGGATGGTATATTTATTATCTTCTCTTTGGAATAGACCTACTACTCATTTAGTCATTTATGAATGAATTTTTGCTTAAACATGTTTCAAAGTAAGGGCTTCCCTTGGTTCTACACTAACATTATTCCTGCATTTTCTTCATTTTATAGATATATTTTTTTATCGTCGATGCTCTTGCATATAGATTTACTATATCTCTGTTGTAATCACAGGTACAAAGGGCTGCAAGAGGCAGACTTTGCTGAAGCATGCGCAGGCTGTCGCAAAATTTGCAACTGTACAGCTTGCATACATTCTGATTTGGAGAATAAAGTTAGTATTAAGGTTTTTCTCTTGATTTTATATTAATATAGTATTTTATATGTTTTCTAATTAAGTCTCTTGTTCTTGCATGTTAGGACATGTTCAAACCAGACTTGCAGCTTGACATCAACAAAAAGGTCGAGTACTCAAAATATATTATTAGAGTACTTCTTCCTTCTTTTAGGAAGTTTGTTGTTGAGCAGAACATAGAAAGAGAAGAAGAGGCAAGAATTCAAGGTAACTTTAACTTTTGTTAGGAGGTTTTAACGTTCACCTGTATTACACTTTTTGTTTAGAAAATTATTTTGATATCTCTTATCTTCTTCTTACTGATATGGATTTTGATGCCTCCAAACGAAATCAAAGAGTCCTAAAATGGTATTTAATGGCACTATGCATTATTGAAGTTTCAGGATGATGTTTTCTAATAATATTAATTTCTGCCGTGTAGAAGTGTTGAACATATTTACAGTTTATCGTACACTACTTGTTTCCTGAAGATCCATGAGTTTAGAAGGGAGATTCTTGTTTTAGGTGTGCCTTTGTTTGTGTTACTAAACACTCTGGAAACAGTAAGCATATCTAAATCTTATGTTCTTATCCATCACCACTGCTCACGGCCATTATCCTGCCAAACATGTATATTGAATTGTTTATTCAACAAATATAATAAATAGAAAAGGATTTTATGTTAACAGTTTCCGTCAATTGTATGTGCTACTCCATTTCAGTGATTTATGATTTTGAGGTATTAGTGAGACGTACCTGGAGATAAACATAATTGATAGGACTTTTGATTTTCCCTAGCAGATGTAGTTTCGTTGTTTGATTAATTATAATATATATATATTTTTGGTTGGGCAGGTGTTTCAGTTGCGGGACTTCAGCTTCCGAAAGCCAACTTTATCCAGGGCAATAAAGTCAAATGGTGGATACTTTTAACCTATGTCGTTTTCCTGATAAATGTTTGCTCCAGTATGCAAAATGTTGATAATTATAACTTGTGCTGTGCAGCGACAACTGTAAGACTGCAATATTCGATATCCACAGAAGTTGTCTAAACTGCACGTACAAGCTCTGTGTAACTTGTTGCCGAGAGATAAGGAATGGCTTCCAATGGGGAAATGACAAATATCACGTTCATCATGGGGGTCGTACTTTTACAAGCAATGACAGATTTTCTGCAGCAGCCTGTTGTTCTATGGACCACACGAGTTTTACTTCTGAATGGAAGATGATAGACAGAGGTACCATAGTTTGTCCACCTGAAATTATGGGGGGATGTGCTCATGGGAATATGGTGTTAAAATCCACATATCCAGATAACTGGGTATCGGAACTGCTAATTAAAGCAGAGTCCATAGATCTCGAGGTGGGTGAAATTTCTGAACAAGCATGCTCATGTTCAGGGAGTGAAGTCTGTAATTTCCGTTGTCCCACAGTTGTGGGCGTTGACCAAAAGCACTTCCAACGGCACCTATATAAAGGTGAGCCCGTGATAGTCCCTGACGTGCTCAGCAGGACGACTGGGTTGAGTTGGGAGCCATTAGTCATGTGGCGTGGTTGCCGCAAATCTAGAAGGACTAATGATGCTCGCATTCTGGAATTCAGCGTAACGAATTGCGTAAATTGGTGCAAGGTATGCCATGCCGACTTCTCTATTATGTTTTACTCTATCAATCAAAAAGTTTTAATTTGGAATTTTGTGATTGGATGACTCTCACCTTCGCTTATTCTTACATCCTTTTATTTGTTATAATAGTAACAAATGAATTTTCTAATAAATCATGTTGTTCTTCGTATCCCCCCCCCCCCCCCCCCCCCTTTTCTCTCAATCATGATCTTATTTCTTGTAATTGATTCTAGGTTGTATTGTTTATGTTCTTGAGAATTCACTTGCTGCAAATGGCTGCAGTATTCTATTGGTCCATGTAATCTTTCAAGAGAAGAACCAAGTAACAGAAATAGTAATCGTTTATTTTCCTTAGTTTTCTTGCAAATTTCTCTTCATATTGTGTCAACCTTCAAAATCTCAAAACTTTAGTTGGGTTAATAAGTGTCTAACACGAATTTGGATAGGAGAAAGCAAAGATCTAACGATTCGCTCTTAAATAGAGATGTTTTGATAGATTTGCTCTTGATGTTTTTTTTTTTGCATTTAATTGTAATGATTTGATTTTGGGACTATGACACGCAGGAAACTATAAACATGCACCAATTTTTCAACGGGTATTCTGAAGGCCTCTTGGACAGTGAAGGCCGGCCCAAAATTATGAAGTTGGAGGATTGGCCTCCAACTGAATCCTTTCAAGAACGGCTGCCTCGGCATTTCGTAGAGTTCATTAGATGCTTGCCTTTCAAGCTATACACACATCAAGCTGGCTACCTCAACATGCCAGCGAAAGCACCAAAAAAGTCGTTGAAGCCGGATTTGGGTCCAAAAATATGCTTTGCTTATGGAGTTAATGAGGACCTTGGCTTCTGTTCTGCAACCAAGCTTCAGTATGCTCTTTCAGATATGGTACATTTTTTCTTTATATCTGTCTTTATTAACTTGAATATTTATGAGAATACATGAGCTGCTTTAAATCATTTCCGATTAGTCTGCCTATTGCATCGATAGAAGCAGTACATCTCCCAAAGAATATTCTTATGAAGTCGTGGGTATTTATATCTATTCAATGCAGTCCTAATTCTTCTTTCTTGCATTTAATATGTTAATCTTAATTGTTGACTCATTATACGAGTTGTCGAAGAAATCTTGGAGTCTTTCTTGATGTTTAATATTTTTGTTAGCTAAATCATTCAACTTTACCTTGTTGATTGCACTCAAGATCTCTTTCTATCAATGCCTAAGTTGTTCGTATGGAACATACGAACAAGTGACTACAACAAGTCTGAATTTGTATTATATTTGTTGTCAGGATCCTGCTTTTGTTGATTCTAACTTTCCTTTCTTTTTTAATTTGTTTTAGGTCAATGTCTTGATGCATACAGCTGCAACGTCTCTTAATCCGGATGAGCTTTCAACAATAGTGGAGTTAGGAAGGAAGCACATTGCCCAAGATCCAGTGGTATTTTCTGTAAGCACTGGGAAAGCATATCAAGATGCCACGAGGAATCAACAATTTGAAAGGGAAAGTAAAAATAAAGGGAAGGAAAAATTTGATCCTTCAACCTCAGGAAACAACGATCAAAGCTTCGATGAACAAAAATGTGGTGCTATCTGGGACATTTTTCGGAGGCAAGATGTTCCTAAGCTGGAACACTATCTTCGGAGGCATTACGGAGAGTTCAGGCGTGTCGTCCCTTTGCAGCAAGTAATTAAATCTTGAATTTGAAAACAATGTTCTACTCAACTTATTCTGTTATGGGGTTTATCTCTCATATGGCAGTTACTATTATTTTTCTAGCAGAATTCTGAAAATCAAAATTTTGTTAAGCTTTTGGTATGATCTTTTATTGCCGTAGCATAAGTAGACAGATGTCTTTTATTTTTCCAAAGTATCGATATGTTTTGGAATATTACTAGTTTATTTTTTCCCTCTATTCGTGCACAGCTGGTTCATCCTATTCACGAGAAAGCATTTTACTTAACAATGGAGCATAAAAGGAAGCTGAAAGATGAATATGGTATGTTTTTATTGTGTTGTAAAGTGGAATACGTGTGAATTGCTATGTATATTGATTATCTATTTTTATTATGTTTTTTCTTGTAGGAATTGAACCATGGACCTTTGTCCAGAGATTAGGCGATGCAGTTTTGGTACCAGCTGGCTGCCCTTACCAAGCAAGAAACTTAAAGGTTTGAGTGTTTGACTCGTATACAACTTCGTGAACGACGACTTCAATTAGTTTCAGTCGAATGTAAATTTTTCGCTGTGAATTTTGCAATTAATTTTTGTGTGCATGTTCCATCTTGCAGTCGTGTACGAGTATGTCCATCGACTTTGTTTCAGCTGAAAGCGTCGGTCAGTGCATCCGCCTATCAACGGAGTATCGGCGTCTCCCAAAGAATCATAGTTGTAAGGAAGACAAGCTGCAGGTATTTCAAAAATATGATTGTATTGTCAATAAACAAAATCAAAGATATATAATGAATAAAATTTGCCTGCTTGTAAGAAAAATAAAGATTGCGGATGACATCTAACGGCTCGTAATGAAACAGGTGAAGGGATTGGTTCTTAGTGCTGTCTGCCAAGCTGTGCAGTACGTGGACAAGATTGATGCGTAAGTCATATATACATATGCTTGTTAAACATATGTCTTTGATACGATGTTAATACATTTTATTTTATTCTTTACCAGTATTGCGCTAAGAAGTCCATTTGCACCCCCCTTTGAGCATGGGAACGTACGCCAAAATCCAGCTCAGCAAGAGGTGAGACCTAGTATTTTGCAAATGAGGAGAGAGTTGGAGCGGATGAAATTGGCTCTTGTAACGAAAGGCCACCTTTTTCAATCGCATATGAAAGACTATCTCTTAAAAGAGATTACGCTCCTCACGAACAAAATAAACTCCACTGCTGGCTCTTCATCTTAGTCACACCATTTTCAATGGTTAGCCTACTTGTTGAGTTAACATGTCTTGCCTTAATTATTATTTTGACATTTTCATCAGTGGAACTATACTTTATTTATATAATTTTGAGCCATACTTTTGTCCGATTTCATGAATTTCGAAGGCCCTGAGAATTTTCGAGTTGGTTTTGGCATGATGCAGGCTAATGTTTCTGTTTTTTGGTTATAGTATTAAGTTTGGGAAAAGGCAAATTGATATTTCTGTCTGCTAATGTTGTGTTTGCTGAATGCACAGGCCTGTTAGCAGTGGATATTGGGTTTAGGTGCTCATGAGAAGTTCACGAAACGTAGTAAGGTACTATCAAACCCGTCCGGTATATTTTATATCTTTCCAAAATGTATATTGTTGCCAGCTAAGATTGGTCAATGCTGAAACGGTAGATGAGCTGGCGTGGCTTGGCGTGGCTGGATAAGGCACAATTTATTGCGAATCGCTGCATTGACTGCCGGCCTTATCACGGTAGATTTTCTCACCATTATATAACACTCGTTTTCCTTCATCCATTCATTCCCATATCTCCCATCTCTCTCATCCTCTCTCATCCTCTCTCAGTTTTCTTCTCGTCGTTTTCTCAGATATTTCCCACCCCTCTTATTTAGTTTTCGAATGATGA